ATCTCAGGGCTTAAGGTTTAGGATTTAGGTTTTGGGGGTCAGGGTTTAGGGCCCCACTGTTGCTTGCTTCAGGATGTTGACACGCCTATGAGGATTGTGAGGAAGCAAAGGGCTTCCAAGGAAACAGTCCAGAGATGTTATGGGCTCCCTGCCAGGTTTGCATCCTCGCGGGGTTTATGAGTTAGGGTGTAGGGGTTTAACCCTAATTAACCCTAAACCCTAAACCCTAAACCTTAAAGGAGTTTCGAGTTTAAGGGGTTTTGGGATTGGGGGCTTCGAGCTTTATCATTGAAACCCTCAGGCGTCGGTGAGTTGGGGAAAAGCAGACATAATCAGGTAGTGTTTAGGTCAATCCCCCCTATGAGTTTAGGGTTAAGGGTTTAGCTTTTAGGGTTTAGTATCTAGGTCAATCCCCCTAGAGAAATAGCCCCTAAATATCGAATTTGCAGGTCCCAAACAAATAGATATACAACAGTTCTTCGTGGTATCCATTGCTGGGTGGGGGGGGGAGGTTGACCGAAGGTAGTATGTAATGTCTATTATAGCTACGATAATGATGGCACCAGTGTGTCGCATTACACCACCTGCCAAGATTCAGGGCTTGGGGGACAAAGGTCGCGGTGGCGATGTTTGCTGTACAAGCCCGCTTTGAAGGGGATAAGGGCCAAGCGCATTTTGGGAGTTTCTCCGCGCTAGGGGCTTATAAGTAGGAATTCGTGAATATACTTAGTAAATGTTCAGATGTTTAGTATCTACTCAAAAGAAAGAACCTCCGTTTTCCATGAAAAAACCCTAAGGAACCACATGACAAAGGAACGAGGGAAGTTTTGCAGCAATCCTCTGACTGTTCAGGAGAACCAACCCCCTTCCCCAAGGTTGAAAAGCCTCTCACTCCTGTGAGTATTCAATATGGGGGCTTCCCAAAATTAGGGGGTACCCATCTGGGGGTCTCCATAATAAGGATTATAGTACATTGGGGTCTATATTGGGGTCCCCTTATTTTGGGAAACTACTATATTCCCATTTTCACACTGTGAACATCTTGAGAATATTCAGTGCTAGGGCTGCCAGGGGGGGGGCATGGAGGCTTGAATATTACCCTAAGGGTCCGAGGACCCAAATAATAGGGTTTTAGGGCCCAAATGCTATAACCTTAATGGTGTTTGGGCCCTAAACCTCTATTATTTGGGTCCTTGGACCCTTAGGGTTAGGGAAAGGGATTACGAATCAGGACTCCGGCGCGAGCTCTTAGAACAACATCCTGGGGCCATATGAGCTATAGCCTAAACTCCTTAGAGGGGGTTCTATAGGGGATTCTATAGGGGAGTACTATAGGGGTTATTAAGGGGGATACTAGGAGTTTAGACTATGGCTCATATAGAGAGGAGAGCGTTGGACCTCAAATCTTAGAATCTCACCGGCATCCTCTTAAAGCCCAGGTGTGTGTGTGTGTGTGTGTGCATATATGTATATAGTACATAGTTTGACCCCGCATGGGTTCCTGTATAGATATCTTGGGCCCTAAGTGTATGCAATTTTGAGTACTTGGCTACTGGAAACAAAGGCCCACCTGCCGGGCCTCAAAGCCACAAAGTGACAGCAACGTGTTGTAAAGGCTGAAACGACTAGGACTCATTATAGTATAGTTAGTAAAACTCTAAGCATGTAAGGATTCATATTTGAAGGAATTTGGGCCCAAAGACCATAGTATATGAGGTTTTCAGGTGATTCTGATGCTTAGGGTAATGAACTCCAAGAAGCCATTCATTCATTTAGGCCCCCGCATGTCTCCAAGGCACAGATCCTGGTCTGGACTTACAACATCCCACCCACAACCCCCCCCCCACCCACGCACCCTGACTCTGGGTCTTTGAGTGCGGAAGCCCAACGGATGAATTTACAACAGGTGATCAGAACGGTGCTATGGCAGCTCTAAATCTTTAGGGGAAGTAGACTATGATTCCCCAGTAGACAACAACAAATCTCAAGAGCGAATCCTAGATCTCAAATCCCCAAATCGAAATCATAATGCCCACACTGTTGAACCTAAAGCCTAACCTAAAAAACAACTCTTGTCTAGGACAAGATCCCAATGCTTAAGTCTATCTGTCTCCTTGACGCATACCTCACTGTCACCTTTATGCCTGGGTTAAGGGTTTAATGTTTAGGGTTTAGGGTTTAGGTTTAGGGGCATTCTCAAGATTGGTCCACTGTGTCATCTTGAAGGGGAACCCCAGCTATCCTAATCCCTTATCCCTCTTTCCTAGGCATCTAAGTCTATATCCCGACAATCCCTTTAACGGACCCGGAGCTATAGATCCTGAAGCCGGGGACCAGTGTTTACAGTGTCCCTTCAGTAGATAGAATACGGCTTTGGGTATATTATAGTAAGATCCCCATATACCCCATATTCGATCTACTGCAGGGGGACTATATCTCCAACCCTAAACCCTGAAGCCAAAATAGTAGTTTCCATATACCCCATATTCTATTTACTTAAGGGGGACTATGCCCAAAACCCTGAACCCATATCCTAAACCCTAAATCTTAAACCCTAAGCCCTAAACTCTAAATCCTAAACCCTCTAAATCTTATATTCTATCTACTTAAGGGGGACTATATATCCAACCCACAGCCCTTCTTCAGGCGAAAGCCGTCGAGGTGCCGTCAGGCCCGGTAGAGCTGGAAGACAGCGATGACGACATGGAGGTGGCTTCAGGGGCTTAAGGACTTGGGGGGGGGGAGGGGGGGGGAAGCCTTAACCCTAAATCCTAAACTTTGGGGGGTTAGGGGTTTTCGGTTTTAGAGGTTTCGGATTTATGGGTGTGAGGCTTTGGAAGTGTCTGAGGTGTAGGGTTCGGGATTTGCTTGGAGGTTGGGACGCAGCTATAAACTGATTCTTTTGGTCGTCTACAGGGGTCTTTCCTCCGTGGGACTTAGGTTTGACCTCAGACCCTTAACCCTTTGGGACTCCCTTATATTCCTATTATAGGTACCTACGGGTTAACCCTTAGTAGGGGTCCTAAGTGCCACGCAGTTTCATGGTAAGAGGTGAGCGGCGCCATGGCGGAGATGATGCTTCCAACCAACCTCCTCACGGAGGAGCAGAGGGCTTTACTGTGTGTTCAGGGTTTAGGGTTCAGGGTTTAGGGGGTTTAGGGGTTTAGGGTTTAGGGGTTTAGGGGTTTAGAGTTTAGGGGTTGAGGCCAAGGACCCAAACAATAGGGTTTAGGGATCCAAATATTACTGGTATTTGGGCCCCAAACCCTACTATTTTGGTCCTTGGACCCTTAGGGTAGGGTTGAGTTTCGTATCTAGTGTTCGGGGTTGAGTGTCCTGTAGGCTCTGACGCAGCAGTCTGGTTCTGCTTCGCGATGAAAACATGAGCCCAATAATGTGTTGGCAAGAGTAGCTGCCACAGTATGAAGCTGCCTTTGCGTTTCTTGCGTGGTTTAGCCATCTACTTTTGCATTGTTCAAATGTCAAACGGCCGTACCAAACCCTGGCGCATGGAGGAAATATGTTGCACTTAGGAGCTTCCCCCCCAGCAACAGGGTTTAGGGTGTAAGGATTATTGGGGCACAGAGTTTACAAGGTGGTCCAATAGTTCCTGCAGTCAACGTAGTACTGCATGTACTCCTAAACGCGTAACTTGCTGGTTGTGAGCAGGGAAGGTGTGAATGGCTCCCTCTCGTAGCCCCTATGTAACCCCGCACAGTTGAGGGTTTAGGGTTCAGGAGGGAAATAGTCGTTTCCATACTTTCCATTTCCTCGCTCTTCCTAACCATACCAAGTAAGTTTCAAACAGGAGTTTGCCGACGAGGCTGTGAGCATCGACGGCGATGACTCCATGAAGGACGCGGTTTACTGGGTTGCTGTTAAGGAACTCAAATTAAGTTACTGTATTGGGGAAACCCTATTATTTACTATATATACACATTATGGTAACTTAATTTTAGTTCCTTAACAGCAACCCACTTTAAGGTCTAGGGCTTGGAGTGCCAAGGGGTTGAGATTTAGGGCCTTGGGTTTCGGGTCAGGTTCTTGTTCTCCTCGGCGCTACACATAAGTTAGGGTAGGGTTGTAAAACATGTGGTCCTTTCTCAGGTACCCTAAATATTACAGGCCGAACTGTGGCCTAAAAAGGGACCACAAGTTTGACAACCCAGCCTCACATTCATGTATACCGCAACAAATAACGACTTGTTGTGAGATCCTGGATTGTGATTCGAAAGATTTACAATCCGAGTCGAACCTTTCTTGGGCTGATAGTTAGGTACACCACTAGTACACTTTCCCTTTTTTGGGGGGTCTCCATGTCTCCTTATTCAAGCTGAACTTCGGAAAAAACGGTACCCTTGTTAGTAACGGGTTACTGGGGAACCTAGAGAAGGAATTTAGCCCCTGCAGTTGTTGCCGTGGTTCTGCGCAATTCTGCGCACCCATGTTAGGGCAAAGTGTCATGCTGGGATTCAGCTCTTTTGTTCATATGGTTGTGAATGTGGCTGTTGCCACAGAAGCCCCATCATTTTCTTCCAATGCGGGCACTTCTTAGCCATCTTTGAATGAGTGATTTCAATCATAAGTATGTTTGTTGAGTTTGGCCGTGCGGATAAAACCTCAGTGCGCTTGGTGGACCTGGAGTCTGGGCAAGGGAGTTGGCCATGCTTGAACTCTGTGTTCCTAGAAGTCAGGGGCTAGGGCTTGGGGATTTAGAGCTTCACGATTGGAATGCCTCCTGTGCCATCCCCACACAGCCCCTTCCTGGCTGAAATCCGTGTTTTCGGGTAGCGTTCTGCCTGCACCATCCTCAGACAGCCCCTTACCGATGAAAATCCCTACATGGTCCAGAGGTGGAACCTTCATGAAAGCTCTGTAATTTGCCAAGCAAGCCTGAATCACAAGCCCTAGGCACGGAGCCAAAACCCCTAAACCTTCATCCCCTCCACTATCAATCTCCCTGCAAAACCGGTTCCCCTGCTACCCCCCTCTACGCTACCCTTCGAGGATCTCCCTCAAAGCAAAGTGGCAATAGTAGGGGAGTTCATAAGTCGTGGCCCCAACATGGAGCCTACAATGCTATAGTCCTTATTCTGGGGACCCCAAAGAGAAAGGTACTCCTAATTTTTGGGAAGCTTTAAACCTTCAACCCTAAGGCCTAACTCCTAGGCCATAGGCCCTAAGCCATAGGACAAGCCTCCGTTCCCGCCCTTCCCGCCTCGGAATTTTGTTCCGCCTTCAGACGCCAGGCGTCGCGGTAGGGCGAGTTTGTTAAGGGGTGTAGGGTCTTGTGGTTTAGGGTTTAGGGATGGAGGTCGGTGGGTCGAAGGATCCCTATTGTAGATTCCTTTATGTTTGTGGCTCAATCATTTCGTATACCTCTCCTTCCTTGCCCTCACCTTTGAGTCCCTCTGGTTTTTAAGGGTTTGGCGTATGCGGCTGGATGTTGCAGCGCGGTTCTCAAAATCATCGGCACTGTTTTGTGGCAGCCTTCACATTGGGAGTATGGCACCCTAAACATCTAAACCTATAGGGGCCGCCAAAAAACTGTTAATATTTGGTTATTAAAGTCCTAATAACAACCAAAAAACAGAATTTTCGTTGGGGTTCCGAGGCCGGTATAGAAACCCTAACCCCTAAACCCTGGTTTTCTCCAGTGAAGTGGAACTGCCATCCCTTCGCGGACCCATGTATGCTGCCTCCAGAGTTTGTTGTTTTTTTTCCTTTTTGGGGCAGGAGTCTGTGTAGGAAGGATTAGAATATGTTGTTGGGTACGAACTTGGTAGTTCCCATAAATAGGGTACTATAACCTCTATTGTGGGTACTGCTGAGTACACCCTTTTCGAACCATAATCCCTAAACTTAACCCTACATATGTGTATATGTGTATGGTATGGTATGGTATGGTATGGTATGGTATGGTATGGTATTGTATGGTATGGTATGTATGTATGTATGTATGTATGTATGTATGTATGTATGTAATTAATGTATGTATGTAATTAATGTATGTATGTATGTAGTTAATGTATGTATGTATGTAATTACTGTATGTATGTATGTATGTATGTATGTATGTATGTATGTATGTATGTATGTATGTATGTATGTAATTAATGTATGTATGTAATTAATGTATGTATGTATGTAATTACTGTATGTATGTATGTATGTATGTATGTATGTATGTATGTATGTATGTATGTCTGTATGTATCTGTGTACATACTTACATGTATCCCTACATAACCTCGTGTAACCCCCTTAAACGGACCACGAAAACACAGGTACAGAGAACAACTTCCTTGTTTGCCGAGCCTATGGCCTCAGAAATTGAGGCCGAAGCCTTGATCCCTAAACGGCCCTGAATGCCCAAAACCCTCAAGCCCCAAAAGCCCCAAAGCATAAACCTCCAAACCCCTAAACCCCAAACCCAAAAACCCTGAACCCTAAACCTTAAACCCTAAACCCAAAAACCCCAAGCCTAAACACAACCAAAAACCTGTCAGCCTAATGATTTTACTTGAAACAGCGGGACATGCTTCCATGCCCAGGTCCCAAGATTTTGATGCCAAAGCTGACAAGTCCAAGTAATTCTCTCCCTTAGAGTTTAGGGTTTGGGGTTTTATATGGGCATCTAGGGGAATGGGTTCGGGCTCATAAGGTTTTATAGGGGTATGGGTTTAGGGTTGGAAAGTTTTATGGGGAAATCTAGGCAGATGGGTTTAGGGTTGGAAAGCTTGATAGCCGTATCTTGGGGAATGGTTTTAGAGTTGCAAGTTTGACAGGGGTATCTAGGGGCATGGGTTTGGGGTTGAAGTATCCAGGAGAACGGGCTTAGATTTAGAGAGTCGAAGGAGGTAGGGTAAACCAGTGTATGGAGGTATCTACAGTATCTAGGGCAATGGCAAAGAAAATGGAAACTACCCACATTACTTGGAGCTTAACAGGTTTGCAGCTTAACAGTTCGCCTCCCACCCTCAGATTCTGAACCTTTCCCCTGATATGTGATGATACCTAAACCCTAAACCCTAATCCTATACCCCTAAACCTTGAACCGCATTTTGTGGTGGTGGGTTGTCAGTTATGATCAGTTGAAGGGGATGAGGTGGTCCTTTGCAGAGATGGCGTTGTAAGTATGAAGGGATTGAAATGGGAACCCCAAAACAGGGAACCCCCAAAAATAGAAGTAAGAATGTACTGGGAATATATCTACCAGAGCCCTTATATGCCTACTATATTCCTACTCTATTCTTGGGGTTCCCCGCTTGTGGTCCCGATCACAGTCCTTTTATACTGGGTGTTGGGGCGAGAGGGTTACTAGCTAGCTCGGGGTGTTTTTTTGTTTGTTGTCCTTATCCGTCTTACATCTATGCTAATCTTGACAAATAGTACAAACACTTCTTTGAGACTGATAGCTCACTATACTGCAAGGGTCATTGCACGGTAGAAAACACTTCTACACGCTAGTAGGATTACTCAGCGGCAACCACGTGCGACTCTTTCTGGCTTGGTAGAAGTACAGCATAAATTGCCTTCGCACGCATTGTAATCCCTGAGCCCTTACTCCCTAAAACCAAACCAGTAAACGCTCAAACCCAGCAAATCTCTGCCACCAGCGACAGTTTTTAGCAGTTTTTTTTCGGCTTTATTCGAGGTCTGAAGCGAGCTCAGGGCTTCAAGACTTTTTGCCATGACACCTATTACCCATCCCCGTGGTAGGAGGGCTTATAGAGTTTTTAGGGTTTAGAGCTACGGTGAGTTCGAAAAAGAATTCTCAGCACTGTATCATGACTATTGTTACTTTTGATGCTTTTTGGGGAGATCCGCAGCAAAAACCTCAAACCTTTCAACCCCCAAACCCTAGTAAACCGGAACCCCAAATGGTGGTTTCCAGAACTAGGGGTTCTTTTTTTGGGGGTCCCCAAAATAAGGATTATGATATATTGGGGGATCCAAATACAAGGGGGACTACCAAATCCGTCAAATACAGCAGGAAGCGAATACTGGCGAAAGTGAAGCAGAAAGCATCCGAGCTGCTTGCGGATGGTCAAGCAGAGTGGCCTGCCTCAGACTAGGGTTGATGGTATTCTTCCCACCCATAGGGTTGTGGTGTAGTAGTAGTTAGTAGTAGTAGTAGTAGTAGTAGTAGTAGTACTAGTAGTACTAGTAGTAGTAGCAGTAGTAGTAATAGTAGGAGGAACGTATAACGTTTCCGACATAGGTACCCGTATGCAATGAGTGGGGAGATCACCAAAGGTTGACGTTGACTCCATTTACCGGGCGGCTCAGGGGGTTCTGTAGTTACTGAGTACTAACGCTAACCTTTCTGGATTCGGGGCTTGGAAGTGTACTTGTACCCTTCCACTACAGAATGTACTCAAATTCAAAAGGTGTTCGAAGGCATCTGGTCTAGGCACCCCCCCAGCGCTTCCAGTTTAAGATCTAGGGTTTTGGCTCCTGCTTCTTGGCATGAAGGGTTCTTTAGGGTTGAGGTTTGAGGGCTATTCTTCTTGCTTTTTGATTCTCATTGGCCCTAAGCCTTGTACCCTAAACTCCAAACCCTAATTTGGTCTTGCCCAGCAGTAAGAGCCAAGTGGATACCCAGACAGTTTGTAGTATCCTCCATTGAAGAATAAGTACATAGGGGTTATATCATATAAGTCATATAGGGGTAACGAACGAGAAAATCCGGGTCACTGGATGGGTCGACGGTTCCCGTGGACACAGTTTGTTCAGGGTTTGCTTTTGGCTGTTGGGGGTTCGGGTTTTGGTATTGGATTTTTCTACATTGTTTCATGTACAATCCCCTAAAAAGAGCCCCCATGATCCCTAAAAACTTCCCACATATCCCTAGAGCCCCTTAGGGCCCCTAATTGAAATCAACACGTTCGGGTTGAACTCAGGAAGGCGCTGGAGAAGTACAGCGAGCTCATCAAAACAGGCACCGGGCGGGCAGTCGATCTATCTTTAGTAGTTTACGGTTTAGGGGTTTAGGGTTTAGGGTTTAGCGGCAGCGGGTTTCCAAGCCACCCCACTCTATGCTATCCACCCAAGGTTCCCCCTTCATAACGCCATTTTTTTAGGATTGATCAACGCTAGTTAAGGGGCAACCTTTTTTGGGGGTAGTTGAAGGCTTTCAGGGCGGAGAGGTTAGGAGGACCCAGAAGCTTCGTACTGGGTTGCCATGATAAATTCTGCTTGGCCATTTGGTACTCAACTGCAACGATTCCTAAGGTTTATGCGGTTTAGGGAAAAGGGCTGCGGGTCGTGCATGAGTTATATATAGTAGCGGCCGTATGGTATTTAGGGTTTACCCCCTGAGTTCTGCATCACATTCATCCTCAAACAGTTTGACCGCAGTTTAGGGCTTGGGGCCCGGGGTTTTAGAGTTTGGAGAAGAGAGCCCCTCCTGGGTAGCCCAGGTAGGGAAAGCACAAGTTGCAAGCAGTTAGCATCCAGCAACCTCTTCAAGCTATTGCTATGGATAACACTCGTGTTCCGTAATTTGCCTACTTGCTTGGAGGTCAGGGGGATTTAAGAAGCATGTTAACAGCTTTCATAATATTCTATTTGCAAGTCGCTCTGACCCTAAACCCTATAGACCTAAATGATACAGTCCTTTCCATTCCTGCTCCATTCGCCAGTTAGTCCTCCTGATCCTCCAAGCAGAGCCTGGGATAAGGTACGGGACCGACTCAATCCTCTACGCTAGGGCTCCCCAAAGCCTTAAAACTCTAGAGCCCAACCCCTTGAAGCCCTAAAAAGCCCTTGCAATCTCTGAAGCCCCCTACACCTGAGGACCCTTGAACTAACAGAGGGATTGTGGTAACCCCAGACCTAAACATGATGATAATAGGAGTATCACATGACTGTTATGGGTCCTTATTGAAAAAGGGGGTGTGGCAGAATCCCCCCATACTTGATGAATTTAGTAATTCTAAGCCGCCATACAAGCATTGTTTCCATTTCATATTGCATTACCTTTTCCGCTTGAGTCTCAATTGCACCGAAATCCCCAGATCCCCTAAACCTTTAACCCCAAAACCCTAAACCTTGAACCCCTAAACCCTAAACCTTTAACCCCTAAACCCTAAACCTTTAACCCCTAAACCCTAAACTCTAAACCTTTAACCCCTAAACCCTAAGAGCAACCCTCGAAACCTCAACCAAAGCTAAGCAAAGGTGGCGCCACAGCCCTGATAATGGCGGCTAGGGAGTCTCGTCTGCGGCAATGCTGGGCTTAGGGTATAGGGGTTTAGGGTTGGGCCTAGTTTCGGGTTTAAGGTTTAGACTATAGTGTTTAGGGTTATGAGTTTCAAGGTTGCAGGGTGTATAAGTTTTAGTGCTTTTCGGCTGTTCAAGGCAAAATCTTGTTTTCTTCACATAGAAAGTTGCTAGGTTCTAAAGTTACAGCTCAAAACCCTCCCTAAACCCTGAACCCTAAATCCTAAACCCTAAAACTTGAACCCTGTCGTCTTTGGAGGAGCCTGCCTTGCCGATATATTACAATGCTTCCCAGAAGGTGGGTGTGAAAACAAAAAGCAGGCGCAATCGTGCTCAAGAAGCTGGGCGAATTTCTCACCGAAAATCCCCACATGACGTCTGTGCCCCACTGCACTTTGGCAGTAAAGAATGACAAAACCGTGGTCAATTTCAAAATGGCCAAGAAGGCCAAGGCCATGTGCTGCATGGGGTTGACAGCTACAGAAATGGATCAGCAGCTTCTTTAATTCCAGCTATAGTAAAATCTATGAATATCCAAAATTTAGGGCCGGCCTTCTGCGAGTTTGCAACCCCAAATCCCTGAACCCTAAAGCTCAAAGGGAGTGAAACTATTCCCGTGTTGGTGGGGCCCCTACGCACCCTTGCCCAAGATGTGGCGGCTTCCAAAAGTTTAGGGTATTTGGGGTTTAGGGTTTTTGTTAAAAATACTCCAGGCATGTC